AGACACAGCGAGAGAGGGAACACAAGCAGGGGGAGTGGGAGGGAGAAGCAGGCTTCCCGCCAAGCAGGGAGCCCGATGAGGGGCTCGATCCCAGGACCCTAGGATCATGACCTGAGCCGAAGGCAGACGCTTAACGACTGAGCCACCCAGGCGCCCCGTCCCCTTATTGACAACAGTTGGCGTTGGTAGTATGTTCTGTGAGAGGACACGTGTGTGAGCAGCTTTTGTTCTTCTATTATTTATCAGCGTGCGTGGCATACACAGGAACAGACCAAGTGCTGTTGCTGGAAGGTTTTTCTGTATCTGTTTACTCAAGGAAAGGACAAAAGAGAAAGTTGCCACCAAGAATAGTACGGGTCTCTGGGTGAGCACAGAGTTGCTGTCTCAGTCCTGCGGTCCTGTGTCTCAGGGGAGGTGCTCAGAAACTCCTGGCCCACCCTCTAGATCTTTCGCCATCTTTGCTTTCCTAAACTCTGAGGGCCAGGTTTTTACTGTAACCCTTAATCAGGCCGTGGTCAGTCAATAAATATTAATATTTAAACACTTGGTATGTAGTAAGCATAACTGTACAGATAAAAACGCAGATCTCTATAGCTGCATCAGAGTGTTTCCCCTACAGCCCATTTCCTACGTGGCAGCCAAAGTGATCTCTTAAAAGCATGAATTAGATCACAGCCCCCCTCTGCTTAAACCCCTTTTGTAATTTCCCGTGGGATCCCATTCAGAGTGAAATCTGTGCCCGCCCTGCCCCACGGCTTCTGAGGCAGTGTGTGACCTGGCCCCTGCCCGCCTCTCCATCCCCTCTTACACCTCTTTCCCCCGTATTGACTGCACAGTGTGCCTTGGGAGTGCCATGCTTGCTGTTGGTGCCTTTGCACTTCCTGTCCCCCCAATTTATCTTCAGGTCTCTCAGTTCATACTGATCACCCTCTCTGCAGCTCCCACATTTCTGCCCTATCAGCCTCTTTTATTTTTTTCATAGCGCTTATCACTACCTGAGATCACTGAAGAGTTTATGTTTACTTATTACCAGGCTGAGATCTGGACCACTCTGTTCACCACTATATCCCCAACACTGGCATGGTGCCCAGCATTCATGGCAGACACTCAGTAAATACATTTTTTTTGAATGAATGGGGGAAAAAAAGCTTGACTTCTAAAAGATGGTTTTGCAAAAACACAGTAACTTAAAATTCTGCTGTAAAACAAAGAGTGATTTGCACTTAGTATATTGCTGTGGGTTTTGTTGCCAGTACTTGGTGCCCCCCACCCCCTGCCGCAAGGCTTCTCCCAGGAATATGGGAATCAGACTGCCTATAACAATCAAAGAGCAAACCCGCAAATAGTGGGTTGGAACGAAAGTGTGCTGTTACCCTTAAAAAGAGTGAGTGGCTTCAGGTTCTCAAGATGTGGCTCTAAAGAAAGGACGGTTCTTCAGAAGAAGGGATTGAGCAGCCTTGGAAGCCAAGGAAAAAGGATAACCCAAGAGACAGGTGGTGGAGATGTCCACGCGGGGAGACGGTGCCCTGGGCTGGAATCCAGGCTGTCGAGGCCCACTGAGAGGCCTGGGCTCCAGTGCCTCTGTGATGGAGGGGACACACCCTGCCCTTCTGTGGGGTCCATCCTGTAGTCATCACGTCCTGAAGCCACCCCTAACTAGCCAGTCACTGTGCCGGGCACCGTGCTCACTAACTGGGCACTCGACATACATTTTCCTATTTATTTACTTTTATTTTTATTTTTTTTAAGATGTATTCATCTATTTTAGAGACAGTGCAAGAGTGGGAGGGGCAGAGGGAGAGGGAGAGAGTCCCAAGCAGACTCTGCGCTGAGTACAGAACCCTAGATGGGGTTTGATCCCAGGACCCTGAGGTCATGACCTCAGCCAAAATCAAGAGGCAGACACTTAACCGACTGCACCACCCAGGCACCCCTACGTTTTCCTATTTAATTTACTGAGAACCCTCCCCACGGCCTTCCTGGGATCATTTGCCTCCCAGTGAAATTTGCGTAGATGGAGACGGTTCACCAACAGACTTGAGCATCTCTTTTCCCTTTACTAGTTTTTCATCCTAAGTTGATAAATCAACAGTCAGTTCATAAGTCTTATCAAGCCTGTCCAAGACATGGATTAAATTGCTCTGTGTAAACTTACAAAATAGATTTTTGAGCCTGAGACATTCTAGCTTATATGAATTTGGGGGCACAGCCAGCAGTCTTCCCTAGAGGACCCCACCCCATTTGTCCATTCACACTCCTCCTCATTGCCTGGCTATTCTTGTCAGTTTTTTTAAAAAAACAGCTTTATTGAGATAAAATTTGTGTACCATAAATTCAGCTTTTTTAAAATGTACAATTCAATTATTTTTAGTACATTCACAGAGTTGTGCAGTCGTCACCATAGTCAATTTTAGAACATTTTAATTACACCCAAAAGAAATCCTGTGCCCAGAAACTGTCACTTCCATTTTCTTTTTTTTTTTTAAGATCATTTTTAAGATTTTGACTCCCAACATGCATGAGACATTAGCGTTTTTACATTCATATAGATAATGAGTATTGTAGGTACACAAATACCTGTGTGTTTAAGGATTTCTTAGCTCATTTTTTCTTCTTGGATCTCATTCTTTAAGAGAAAAAAAACAACGCAATTCTTAAGTATTGTAAAATAGAGCAAAGTCATCCTCCTTCAGCCAATATGGAGATTCTTTCTTTTTTTATTCTTTTTTTTTTTTTTAAAGATTTTATTTATTTATTTGAGAGAGAGAATGAGATAGCACATGAGAGGGGGGAGGGTCAGAGGGAGAAGCAAACTCCCTGCTGAGCAGGGAGCCCGATGCGGGACTCGATCCCGGGACTCCAGGATCACGACCCGAGCCAAAGGCAGTCGCTCAACCAACTGAGCCACCCAGGTGCCCCAGAGTGGCATGATCTTAAGCACTGAGCAGAGCCTTGATATTCTGGATATAGATTTCTGCAAGCTTGGCTCCCAGCCTCCTGGGCCATTCCCACAGCCTGGGGGCCTCTACTAGAGGAAGCCGCAGCTACTTCCGTAGTGGATTCTTGTCCCTAAAGGGAAGGAACCATGCCACAGAGCTCTCTTTAACAGACCCTGTGTGTCACAGCCCTTATGGTCCGTGAGCAAAATACTTGATATTAATCATCTGGGTGTTTCACCCATTTTCTTATGTGTGTAGTAAGAGGACATTGGAAGGTTGGCTTGAAGGTTAGAAATTGCCACCTCTAGTGAGTCTGGTTGTTCAGTTTTCACTTCCTAGCTCAGTGTAGAAGGAGTTCTCCAAGCAAAGGAAATTTGTAATTACCAGAACTGTGTTGCTGGGATAACTAATGCCATATCCAAACCACTGGTTCTCAACAGATTGTAAAAAGGCTGCCCTTTTGGAGATTATCTAAATACATGGCATTCGGTGCAGACTTATTTCAGTGGCCTGCTTTGATAATATGTTGAGCCTGTGGAGCGTAGCATGCAAGAATACCTCTGACTGAGGGGCTGGGGGAGAATTCTCTGCATGTCTAGGTGGAGTGTTCTGTTGTTTCAAGGGCACAGAAGCTGTTCTCCTGGAAATAAGATTATCTCTTTGAGGTTGTGATTTGTGAATAATGACACTTTATTTCTGTAAACTTCACTGGGTAGTTGTTATAACCTCCATGGTAAAAATTTTTATTCATAAAAATTATATATGCCTTAGCACAACAATATGAGTGTAGTCAATATACTGAGCTGTACATTTAAAAATGTTTAAGATGGTAAATTTTTAGGTGTGTTTACCACAATTAAAAAAAATTGTAAAAATATATATGCTTATCATAGAAAATGTGAAAAAAAAGAAAAAATAGTCATTCTACTAACACAGCTTTTTGTTCTATTTGTTGCCAGTCTTCTATACGTATTTTTAGACAGTTGAAATATTATTACATGACCATAATATTGTGGTAGCTGTCGTTAACATACATTTTGCAGAATGGGGAAATAGCTAGAACGTTGGACTATGGGGCCAAAATGCCTAGATTCAAATTCTGGTTCCCCAGTTCCTGATACGTCACAGGAGGCAAGTTACCTAACCTTTCTGTGCCGTGGCTTCTCATCTAAATCAGTGATTCTCAACTGGGGCAGTTTTGCCCCAGGGGACACTCGGCAATGTCTGGAGACATTTTTGGTTTTCCAGAGTGCAGGAGGTTGCTCCTAGCATCCAGTTGGTAGAAGCCAGGGATGTTGCTAAACATTCTACAGTGCACAGGACAGCCCCATGGATTACCTGTTCCCCGGTGTCACATTGTCAGTAGTGTCTTGGTTGAGAAGTCCTGCTCTAAATAAGATGGAGATAAATACCACCTACCTCATAGGATTGTTTTGAGGATTAAGTAAATGAAAGTATGTGAAGTACTTAGAGCATTGCCTAGCACAAAATAACCTCCATGTCTGTGTTAACTATTATTATTGTTATTATAGTCACTTTTAATAATTTCATGTCAGCATTTCGTTCTTTAAAAGCTCATAAACATTCTTTTTAATATTTTCCAAATATCTTCTAGTAAAGTTTCCTTTTATATAAATATTGCATGCTCCTAACATGGCTTTCTTTCTTCCCCACCAGATGAAATTAAAACAGAGATAGAAAAGCAGAGGTAAGCTCTTCTCTTTGCTGGAATACAGTATTAAGGGAGAGGTAGTAGCCATGGGAACCCCTTCCTGTGCGTGTTTTCTCGTATTCCTTAGCTCCCAGGTGGCACACACTCTCCTAGCAGTGTCGGACACATGGCAGGACTCCGTATGTGTTTGAACAGATGCTAGGTTAACAGGTTACCAACTCAATAACTGCACATTTGCAGGAAAGGGTAAAGTAGATCAAGTTAATGCTGCTGTACCTTTTCTTGACAGATGAGGCAAAGCCCTTGGCCTGTATGTCATGCTTCCTTGGGCAGGAGGACAGCTTGCCCCAGAAGTGGCTGCTCCTCGTCTTCATAGTTAAAAAGCCAGTTGGTCACATTTCAGAACATGGCTGATGCCAGGACGCTGTCAACATAGCTCCCTAATCAGAGACCTTCCCTTCTGCCTGTGGCACTTTGGTCTTTTGTCCTAATGCATGTGTTTCCATTTTTAATTGTCTCGCCCTGCAGATGCAGTTTGCAGGCACTTTCAATTAAATGATTGCAAGTGGGATGGGAAGTTAGAATGATGTGTAGGAAAAGCAGACTTTTTGTTTTTTCACTTCCCCTCTCTGGCCCTCTCCTGCTTTTTCTCTAGGCTTGGCGCTGCCGCACCACCAAAGGCAAACTTCATTGAAGCTGACAAGTATTTCCTTCCATTTGAGCTAGCTTGCCAGTCCAGGTCCCCCCGGGTGGTCAGCACATCCCTCGACTGCTTGCAGGTACCACATTGAAGCTTGCTGGTGTAAAGAGGGTTTCCTCCAAGCCATCGCTGGTCATTTTAGGGGAACTATGCTTCCAGGGTGATGGAGGAAGGAGCAATCCAGCATGTTCTTTGAGGGAGGGGAGGGTAAGGGGTCTGACCTCCTTAGCCAGAACAAGAATGTGTTTGCCTGGAAATACTTTGTTGTACTCCCTTAACGTATGTTTTTCTAAGTGAAACCTTCAGGATTAGTTGGAAATGTGGGTACACGTGGGCACATGCAATATTTTTATGTCACCTCTTTCTTGATGGCATTAAAATTCAGAATATCAAGTAGAGAAATAGATATCACTATTCATCATTTGTGGTAATATTCTATAAAGACACTGTGAATGTGGAATAAGCAAATCCTGAATCATTGTTCCCATAAGAAATACAGGATAAGGTGCCTGTGAGCCTCTGGTGTAAACACGTTCATCAACTGGTCAATACATAAAGCAATATGTAACTTTGTTCTTTGTGTTTTTCTGTTTAAAGACGCCTTATTTAATATATCTTATTGATTCATTAACATTGCACTCATGGTCACAGCACTGTAACACATGCCTGAACAAAGCTCACCTAACACGTAATTTCTCCGTAAGGCACATCATTGCCTTCTTGCTCTACTAGGAACAGTAGACAGCACTTCAGCACGGTGCTTAGGGACCATTTTAAGTGGCAAAAACACCAACAAAATGGACAAAAAAAAGCAAAAAAAGTGGCATGAAATAGGCCACAGAAAAGATAATGCTTACAGTATAAGAGCTGAAATGAGAAGACAGAGCATCTCCTTGTTTGGCCTCAGCTGAGAACGTATGCATCAAGTGATTTGATTTTTTTCACTGCTCTGCGTGTGTCCACACATGACTGCAAAAGTGCCACAAGTATTGATTTGGGGCTTACAAATAAATTGTAGTTGAGTTGGGTACATTTGCAAATATAGGATCTGGGAATGATAAGGATTGACTATATGAGAGCCACAGTGACCTTGTTATAAATCACCTTTGATTGATGAAGAAACAGGAATAAAGAAGTTAAGATAACTTGTCCAGTAATATGCAAGTATGAAAGACAGAAACAGGGCTACAATGTGGGTCTCTTAATTCCTGGTCCAGCATTCTTGTTTTTTTTTTTTTTTTTAAGATCTACTTCTGAGGTTTCTGGTTACCTCACTTTTATCCTTAACCCCAGCAGGCAACCTACACATCAATGGAAAAAGCTTGATAAATTAAAAAATTATATTCAGAGGTCCACAATTTATCAGTACTTTCTAGAACAGGCATAGTGAATAGGTTTTATATTATGATTGCTCAGAAGCTGTGTTGAAAAGCTATCTGAAGCTTCATCTGGATTTCTTGAGAAAGTACAGTGATCAGTTGGTGATGTCTGCTGAGGCACGGGCTGCCAAGTGGCAGTGGGCATGCCACGTTTTTGGCATCTCCAGTCTAATATTTACTCTATTAATCTCGCTTCTTTGATATATCTGTACTTGAAAGTTGATGACAGTTTCTTCGCAGAAGCAGTTCTTCCAAATGAAAAGCTATTTTCTCATTCAATATAATTCTGTACAGATTGTCCTATGTGAAACATATAATGAGCCAAGAATTCTTAAATGGCAGGCCCAAGTCCTCCTTCCATCCTAAAATATTTGTTGCTGTGAAATTTTCTGAGGAAATTTGGCATAAGTTAATTTTAGTTGTTTTCTTCTCATGTTACGGTCTAGTTCTGAAGCTGGTGCTGACAGTTAACATTACCGATGTACTAAGAACAGTGGCTATTGAGTACTTGGCCTGTGCTGGGCCCTGTGCTCAGTGCTCTGTCTGCAGCATTGTGTTTAATCTTCCCAGCAACACTCTGGTTACTTAACTCTCATCCTCATTTTGGAATTGAGGAAATGGAGGTTGAGAGAATAAAGTGACCAGCCCTGCAGAGCTCCCCCTGCCCAGGAAGTGGTGGAATGGGGTATCTAGACCTCTCCCCACCCCGTCTGAATTCTTAACCAGGGGTCGTTAAACTAAAATTGTAAGCCAGATCTGGCCTGCCACCTGCTTTTATAAATAAAGTTTTATTGGAACATAGCTGTCTTAATCTAGTCAGGCTCATACAACAGAATACCACAGACTGGGTGGCTTAAGCAAGAGATATTTATTTCCCTCAGTTCTGGAGGCTGGGGAGGGCAAGATCAGGGTGCCAGCTGATTCAGTTCCTGGTAAGAGCCCTCTTCCTGGTTTGTAGATGGCTGAGTTGTCAGCTGTGTCCTCACATGGCAGAGAGAGCACACTAGATCGCCGGTCTCTTCTTCTAGGGCACTGATCCCATCATGAGGACCCCACCTTCATGATCTTATCTAAACCTAATCACCTCCCAAAGGCCCTACCTCCTAATACCATCTCACTGGGAGTAGGGCTTCAACATAGGAACAGGGGGACACAAACATTTAGTCCATAGCAACAGCTGTGCCCATTGTTTCTGATCTCTAGCTGCTTTCCCACTACTACAGCTGAGTTGATGGAACAGAGACCATAAAGCCTAAAAATTTGGTTCTTTACAGAAAAAGGTTGCTGACCACCACTCTTAACTGTTACCCTGTGGTTCTGGCCCTTTGATTAAAAATAATGCAGTTTGTATTTTATGTTCTATATTTTCCTGGAAATAATCTGTTTCTGGAACTCTGGAACGGAAACATTGACATCCTGCTCTGCTTCAGCCCACTGTCCTGACTTGAACTATAAATGTAAAAATGTCTTCAGGCCTACGACATATGGTTAGCTCTTTTTTTTTTAAGACTGGAAGTTCTCTGTGATTTAGTAGGTATACTCGAATTTCTTTGGTCATTTTACAAAATGCAAGCTGTGTCGTCCTTTTTACGACATTAGAAAGTGACCCAGTGCTCCCTGGAATACTGAATGAAAAATTTCATTCACTCTTCGGGGTTGTCCTTGCAAAGCCTGTTAGACTGGCTTTTCCCAGCGTGGGAGAGATGACTTCCGTCTTGGAAATGGAAGGCCAGTGTCTAAGGGCAAAGGTTGGTTTGAGCAGAATTGAAGCCAGCTGCAGACATACCCACATTCTGCCCTGGGCATTTAAAGGCATCCTTCTCTGAGCTTAGAGAGGTGATGGGATGGCAAAGGTGCTTATGGGTTTGGTTTGTCCTGAGCACAGTTAGCTTAGAGTTCCCTCTCTCCACTGACAGAAACCTAGAGAGTTCTGCTGCTGCTCTGCTCACTTCTACCAAAAGATAAAGATTCTCTTTATTGCTTCCCTTCAGCACCTGGTCTGCTGCACACTTCCCCTCCCTGCCAGGGGAGGGGCATTAGGCTCAGTCTTGCCTTACTCAGTGCGTGATTTCCAAGGTTCCCTGGGCATATGTCAGTAACCAGATTTTTTTTTTTGAGAATATCCTTCTAATATATTCCTATTTCTTTAATGGTAAGATTATGTACATGTGCTACTCTTACTCCATTACACATATTATAAAACATACACAAATAGAACTTTCAAAAAGATAAAAAAAAATAGGAATAGAGTTGTAATATTTAATTTCTATGTCCCAGTGAGGGCTGTAGGAAACCACTGGTCTCAGCTGTCCTTCGTTCATACCACAAGCATTATGTTTTAGTTCTCATTTCTAGAGAACTTCGGATTTTTAAAGCACATTTTAACATCCATTCGTAATTATAAAAGCTGTACATGACTACATTCTCTGTTAAAATTTTTTTTTTTTTAGAACTTTACAGATAAGGCTGAAGTCCCTTAGACCACTAGCCCCAGCCCTGTACAGGTCGTATACTTTTTTCCTTTCTTGTTCATTTTTTTTCTTGCCTATGGGTGGTAGATTTTTATTTTATGAATTTGACAAGTTTCCCTAATTTATTTGCAGCTTTAGAATGTTAGTTGGATATGTGGAGTTTCTCATTTTAATAATGTTTCAGGTTGAACCACATGAAATTGTCATTCTCATGGAGTGAAAAACAGGTTTCAGGAACTTCATATGACCCAACTTAATAAAACTTTTTGTCCATAAAGAAGGAAAATAAGTCAAGGCTAGAAAGCACAGACTTGGGTCACAGATAGCTTAGCATTTATATACTGGCTTAACATGTCACTAAGACACCTGGGACAGGTTCTTTAACCTTTCCAGAGTCCGGGATCCTCAGACATAGAAAAACAATAGTGTCATTTGCCTTTGTAGGTGATGATGAGGACCAGGTATGATGAGGACTCAGTGTTTTTCAAACACAAGTCAATCATGTTTCACCCTCACAATTTCTTCCATATCTGCACTCTTCTTTATCGTTATGTATTTAATACTTTTCTTTAAAATAATTTTTAAAAAGTTTTTATTATTGAAGTATTGTTGACATATAATGTTATGTAAGTTTTAGGTATTCTCCAGCTTGCTTTTTACTTTCCACAGTGTTTTTAAGATCTAGCTATGTGGCTATGTGCATCCTTTTGACTGATGTATGATATTTTATGCCATCATTTAATTTATCTCTTCTCCTATAAGGGGCATTGACAAATAGAGTAACAGTGAACATCCCTGTGCAGGCAGCCTCCTTGGACACAAGGGTCAATGAGTCAGCTGCCCAAAGGCCTCCCTCCTCTGCCCTCTTCCCATCTCATTGCATCAACAAGAAATAAAGCAGGAATTTCTACCCTCCATCTGTGTCACCCTCCCAGAGTCCAAGCCACCAGCATCTCCCTCCTGGACAGCTGCGGTAGCCTTCTCACTGGTCCCCTGCTTCTACTCCTGTGGCCCTCCAGCCTGTTCGCCATGCAGGAACTGGAGGGAGCCTTTAGAAATGTACCACATCATGTTAATCCAGTAACTTTCCACCCCACTCACTGTGCAAAGCACTTTCCTTAAGTGAGCTTGCCAAGCTCACTCATGCTGCTGGACCTCTGCTATGTTTCCGGGCTTTTTTCTGTGCATTTACAAAAATACACACATAGTCACATAGTTTTTATTTTCCAAAAATGAGACAATGCTATGCATTATCACTGCAACTTGTTCTTTTTAAGATGTCTACAAATCAGACAGGGCCCTGGAGATCCTAGCCAGGACTTTTGGCTTTGGTCTGCCCCTGCCCTGGAGAATATAAACTCCAGGGGAAGAAGGACCGTCTTCCTCCCTGTTGTGCCTCCAGTGCCCAGGACAATATCTGGCCCAAGGAGGGGTAAGAGGGCAAAACTAGAAATCCCCAAGGATGCAGGAACTCTGCTTTCTTCTGGCCCTGTGTCACTGCACAGATGTGGGAGTGAAGCCATACTTTAAAACCCTGTTCAACTTGGGGCACCTGGGTGGCTCAGTCAGTTAAGCGTCTGCCTTTGGCTCAGATCATGATCCCAGGGTCCTGGGATCGAGCCCCGCGTCGGGCTCCCTGCTCCATGGGAAGCCTGCTTCTCCCTCTCCCACTCCCTCTGCTTGTGTTCCCTCTC